GTTCTATCCAACTCGAAATTGTACTGTTTTGTTTGGTTGACTATAGTGTAGAAGGGCAGGCACTATAGGGGTACAATTTAGGTGAAGGTTGGATGTTGTTTGTCTGTATCTGCATGCTACAGGGCCAGGGGAAACCAGCAGAACCAGCATTTGGCTGGTTGGGCAAAGACAAAAACAGGTTCTGTTTTTAGGACCTGAACCTGGTTGTTGTTTTCCCAGGTTGGAAAAACAGAACCAGAGGTTGTTTACCAACCTACCACCTGCTGTTCTGTCCAACCAGGTTGGTTTTGTTGCTTGGAATTATTTGGGATCATCCTTGGTTGTTCCCAGGTTTATTCCCAAGGTCCTTGCTAGCTAGAACTATTTATTCTTTCTCTGTTTGTACCTGGATATAGTGAAATTGATTCAAGCGAATTCCTTCCTTGCTGGAATTTCCTTTCTACGCGGTGCGACAGCGGAATGCTACCCGAGTCAACGCTAGTACGCTAGCACTCCAACGCTAGGCTAACGCTGTCCGAGCCATAACTTCGTAATGGCAGAACTTTTCGCGAGGCAACTTGGCTTATTTTAAAGCTCTTAGAGTGAGCTTCGATATAGAAAATTCTCAGCTTAATCCGATCGACGGTCTGCACGATACACTGCGCGACGTTCAAGGTACTCTTGCTATTTTGACTTAGTCCCTCTTGATCCCTCTCTCTACAAACTCAGACCCGAGGATAGGGGCTGGTCTTGTACCAGGCACCCAAGGACCCTTGGAGGTGACCCCGAGGAGAGGTTTTAAGTTTGATAAAGTCTTAATAGCTTGAGTTTATTAGGCCCTTACACCAACAAATACCAGCAACTCCCTTTCATTTTGCCACCAGCACCCGACTTGCCCCCACGTCCAGATTTCGCAACCCGACCCCAACTGGTACCTCCTTGTTGGTCGTTGGAGTCGTCGTCCTTCTTTGCACCGCGTCCAGCACCACCAAAGCCACGTCCTCTGCCACGTCGGCTCCCTTGCATCCCATAGCCGCTGCTGCCGTCGTCTCCACCCCTCAGTTGGCGGCGACGGAAGTCCTCCTCCAGAATCTTTGTCGGCACCTACTCGAGTGTCCACGAGCTCTAGTTCTGTGGTAGGCTCAATCGGCTAGTGAATTGAAGCCATGATTCCGACAGCAGCGAGAGCATCTTCAAACACTTGGTCTGCTCCGGGTAGGTGACTCCCGCAGTCGCCAACTTCGCATAGAGGTCGCGCATCTTGTCCAGGACAGATTGCACCGGCTCTCCCTCACTCAGGCGCAACGCGGACAGCTCCCTCTCCAGCATCAACATTGCAACAACAGAGGTCGGGGCGTGCAGCTCCTTCAACACGGTTCACGCCTTCGGACCGCACTCAACCTCCGGCAGCAGGTGCATGACGTGGTGACGCTGGTTCAGCTCCAAACTCTGCGACATCAAATAGTAGCCAGCCGAGGAGCGCTCATCCCAATCTTCCTGCAACGCAGGGTCACTCGGTCTAGGCTCCTCCCCAATCTTTAGTTTCAGCAATCCAATCTGACGGAAATAGAGTTGCATTTTCCAGGCCCAATCATCATAGCCCTCACCATTGAACTTCTCGACGGTGAAGTTCTTCAGCACCTCCTTGACCAGCGAGCCCTGGCTTGTTCGCGCTCCCCTTGGCGCTGAAACACCAGAATCATGGCTGCCGCTACGATCTTGGGCTGAAGATTCACCAGCTCCCGTCGAGGTGTTGCCCACCATAGCTACCTATATCAAGGATCACTATAACGCGGCTCTGATACCAGCTTGTTGGTGTAAGGACCTAATAAACTCAAGCTATTAAGACTTTATCACACTTAAAACCACTCCTTGGGGTCACCTCCAAGGGTCCTTGGGTGCCTGGTATAAGACCAGCCCCTATCCTCGGGTCCGAGTTTGTAGAGAGAGGGATCAAGAGGGACTTAGTCAAAACAGCAAGAGTACCTTGAACGTCGCGCAGCGTATCGTGCAGACCGTCGATCGGATTAAGCTGAGAATTTCCAATACCGAAGCTCGCTCCAAGAGCTTTAAAATGAACCAAGTTGCCTCGCAAGAAGTTCTGCCATTACGAAGTTATGGCTCGGACAGCGTTTGCCTAGCGTTGGAGTGCTAGCGTACTAGCGTTGACTCGGGTAGCATTCCGCCGTCGCACCGCGTAGAAAGGAAATTCCAGCAAGGAAGGAATTCACTTGAATAAATTTCACTATATTGAGGTACAAACAGAGAAGGAATAAATAGCTCTAGCTAGCAAGGACCTTGGGAATCAACCTGGGAACAACCAGGGATGATCCCAAATAATTCCAAGCAACAAAACCAACCTGGCTGGACAAAACAACAGGTTGTAGGTTGGTAAACAACCTCTGGTTCTGTTTTTCCAACCTGGGAAAACAAAAACCAGTTTCAGGTCCTAAAAACAGAACCTGTTTTGTCTTTGCCCAACCAGCCAAATGCTGGTTCCGCTGGTTTCCCCTGGCCCTGTAGCATGCAGATACAGACAAACAACATCCAACCTTTACCTAAATTGTTCCTCTATAGTGCCTGCCCTGCTACACTATAGTCAACCAAACAAAACAGTACAATTTCGAGTTGGATAGAACTGAATCTGCACAATCAAGTAAGTTGAACCGCAAAGCTTCCATCTTGGGTTCCTTTGCAAGCTCGTCCTTTCTGCTTGTACTGTTCATAGCGCGTACAATGTTGTGCCGAAGTGCACATTGTGCGAGTACCTGCAAATGCATCAAGCGAAAATAGCGAAAGCAAACAAACACACGAACATTCCATTCACACCCAAATGCATTCGCACACGCATACTCATGCAAATAGACGGCAGGATGTCGTGCAATGTGAATTTGCACCCAACAATTCTCCCCGGCGGTATCAGCAACACCCTCACTGGGCTGCTCACCCCGGTGGTCAGGGGGATTGGAGGGGTTACCGCGGGCGCGGTGGTGGTGGGGGGTACCGCTTGCCGGTGACGATGGCAGATCTTCAGCGGGAGGTGTCGAGGGCGGTGCGCGAGGAGAAGGCGTCGCAGAGCAAGAGCAGCTCGATGCGCGCCTCGCCGGTCCTTGAGGCTCCGCGACAGCCTGCACTCCCCTTGAGCCCGCCGCCTGTTGCCGCACCCCCTCCGCAGGTGCACATCCCAACGGCCCCTGCTCCCGCCGCGTCGGCACCAAACCCTGGCGCGCGTCTACGCTTGCCGCCAATTCCGCCTGTTGCGGGGGTGGAATTTGTGGCCGCAGGTGGCGGTGTGTCTGCGGCGCCGTATTCACATCAGGCTGATGAGGATCAGCCGCTCCTGTTCCTGGCGGAGGCTCTTCAGCCTCCGCAGACTCGCGTTCCGGAGGCGACGCTCGGCCAACTCCATCGCCTTGCTGAGAGTCTTCATGCGCTGCTGCTGATTCAGGTGGTTACACATTCGTCTCTCCCCGTGATCCCTCCTGAGTCCTTCCGTGGCCGCCAGCGTGACACTTGTCTGGACGCGGCGGACCAGCTCGCGGTGCTGCTGGCACCCGTGTTGGCTGCGCCCGCGGAGGGAGGCGCTGCTGCTGCGGGACAGCTTGACGACGTTGTCCGGGGCCTGAGGCGGCACTTGCGCGCTGGATCTGGAGCCGCGGCGATCGGCGCAAGCACGATTGTGGTCCAGGAGCTGTGGCGCTCCCTGACGGGCGTTCTTCACGCCCTTGGAGCTCACCGCACGTAGGCGCGGGCTCCGGTTGCCCCATGGTCGCTTCACTTATCTACGGTGACGTAGGAGATGCCATCGCTTGTATGCCGTTGCTTATAGTTACTCGTGTGCGTGTTTCCTTGCCGTCCCCTCACGCGTGGCCGAAGGCCGCGCTGTCGAGCGTCGGCCGCCTTCGGCGGCAGGCGCGAGCCGCTCGGTTAGGAGAATGAATAACCGAACAATGAGGAGCTAGGCTGGCTGCTAGAGCCTTTATACTAAGGAACAAGGGCTGAGAGGCTAAGGGAAGAGGCCTAGGTGCCTCTCTCTCTCTCTCTCTCTCTCTCTCTCTCTCTCTCTCTCTCTCTCTCTCTCTCTCTCTCTCTCTCCTCTCTCTCTCGCTCGATTAAAAGAATCAATAACTGAACAATTATAGGAATTTCATCCTATAGGATGTCTCTATAGGAATTGCCGTCAGCCAGTCCCCCGTGCCGTAGCCTGTTAGAGATAACATCCGCTGCGTATGGCCTGCTAGCGGATTCAGCTCCATGTCTCTCGTCGCCTGAACTTGCACAGCGTAGCGGCTACCATGTCTCTCTCTCTCTCTCTCTCTCTCTCTCTCTCTCTCTCTCTCTCTCTCTCTAATGGTCCATATATTGATAGAGCTTGAAGGTACAAACATGCAGGGTATAAGGTGCAAGGTCTAGCTAACCAAAATGACAACTAAACAAGGAAAACCATACACACGACTACCAAACAACCGCCCCCTCTAGAGCTCCAAAAAAGGCTCAACCACCGCGAAGCAGTCCCCAAGGTGCAGTTCCTGCCCTATGCCTCCTACAAGCGGGTTTTCTGCCGCCGCTGCCTCACCCAACTTAAGTAGGAGTCCCACGGATTGGGCCCTCTGAAGAGCCACCGACCACCGTTGCCTGAACTGGTGCAGAAACTTGGCGGCATAATAGGATTTTGAGTCAGCGTTGAAGTGGCGCCGAGCTGCTGTGTCTGCCAGGAGCTTGAGGAAGACAGGGACCTTGGCGCATGGGCAGCCGTAGGTGTCTACTGCCAGTGGGAAGAAGCCAACCGTCTCTGGGCGGTTGGCGTAGTGCTTGATTTTTTTGTCAGCTTGTTCACGTGCTGCCCATCCCCGGCCCTTTGTGCTTCCGGGTCCCTAGTGCTGATAGGGTCAGTGATGGTAACATCGCAGATATACACCGCCCCGCTGCTTCTATCGGTCATGGTGAAGTCGACTGTTTGCTCCTCGATGGGGCAGTAGGCGGCCGACTCCCTATGTACTATAAACTCCGCATCCTGCGCCATGCTAACGCAGGCGTCCCGCAGCTCATTGTGCGTGTTTATGCGGTGCTTGCCCGTGCCGCACCGGAGCAGGTGGTTCGGGAGGCGGGGGTCACTGATAGCCGTGTGGTCCGCGCAGTCACAGTTCTTGTGCGTTGAAAACGATAGGCCAAGTCGGAAGCGGACAGCGTTGGCGAAGTGCACTGGCCCTATCCGCCTTGCGGGAGCGATGGGGATTGCGGTGAGCCAGTCGCGTGTGCCGTAGCCAGTTAGTGAAAACATCCGCTGCGTGTGACCTGCAAGCGGATGTCAGAATATATTTGCTGTCTAGCCTGCAGTGGGGTACTCTGTAATGAGTACAACCCAATTTAGGGCAATGTACTTGTATCCCAACTCTTGCTAGTCACTTCACTTCCCTTCCAAATTTCTCGATACTCACCTAACCCACTCGAACTCACCTACCTCCTAGTGTGGGCCTAGGCTACTAAGCCTAGGCCCCACACCTACTTTTTCACATGTTATCAGAGCCCGTTCTACCTTGGCCTGTGGGCCCCTATGCTTCCGCTGCAGTCCTTCTTCCTGCCGTGAAATTGTTTTTAGGATTTCGGAGTTTTTCATCCCGCCGTGCGCTCGGGGCGCGCGGCGGTTTTCCCGTCCTTCGAAGCGCCCTCGGGGGGCCTGCGCGCTGCCCTCCCCGCTGCTCGTCGCGACGCCCGTGCGGGACCCGCGCGGCGTCACCCTGCTCGTCGCGACGTCCGTGCGGGACCCGCGGGGCGTCGCCCCTGCTCGTCGCGACGTCCGTGCGGGACCTGCGCGGCGCCGCCCTACTTGTCGCGACGTCCGTGCGGGACCCGCGGGGCGTCGCCCCTGCTCGTCGCGGCGTCCGTGCAGGATCCGCGGGGCGCCGTCAGAGCCAGCAGCAACCGCCGCCAGAGCCTACAGCAGCGGCCGCCACCACCCAGCAGCAGCAGCCGCCGCCAGGCCTGCAGCAGCAGCCGCCGCCAGGGTCTGCAGCAGCAGCCGCCGCCAGAGCCTGCAGCAGCAGCCGCCGCCAGGGTCTTCAGCAGCAGCCGCCGCCAGGGTCTGCAGCAGCAGCCGCCGCCAGAGCCTGCAGCAGCAGCCGCCGCCAGAGCCTGCAGCAGCAGCCGCCGCCAGAGTCTACAGCAGCAGCCGCCGCCAGAGTCTGCAGCAGCAGCAGCCGCCAGACCTGCAGCAGCTGCCGCCACCGACCCAGCAGCAGCAGCCGCCGCTCTATCAGCAGCAGCAGCCGCCGCCGCTCTGCCGCAGCAGCTACCGCCGCCCAGCTGCAGGTGCCGCCCCTGGACCCCAGAAGCTGCCCCTGGACCCGGTACGCCTTGTGCTGCCCGTGCCTGTGCTGCCCGTGCCTGTGCTGCCCGTGCCTGTTGCTGCCAGTGCCTGTGCTGCCCGTGCCTGTGCTGCCCGTGCCTGTGCTGCCCGTGCCTGTTGCTGCCCGTGCCTGTGCTGCCCGTGCCTGTTGCTGCCCGTGCCTGTGCTGCCCGTGCCTGTGCTGCCCGTGCCTGTGCTGCCCGTGCCTGTTGCTGCCCGTGCCTGTGCTGCCCGTGCCTGTGCTGCCCGTGCCTGTGCTGCCTGTGCCTGTTGCTGCCCGTGCCTGTGCTGCCCGTGCCTGTGCTGCCCGTGCCTGTTGCTGCCCGTGCCTGTGCTGCCCGTGCCTGTGCTGCCCGTGCCTGTGCTGCCCGTGCCTGTTGCTGCCCGTGCCTGTGCTGCCCGTGCCTGTGCTGCCCGTGCCTGTGCTGCCCGTGCCTGTGCTGCCCATGCCTGTTGCTGCCCGTGCCTGTGCTGCCCGTGCCTGTGCTGCCCGTGCCTGTGCTGCCCGTGCCTGTTGCTGCCCGTGCCTGTGCTGCCCGTGCCTGTGCTGCCCGTGCCTGTGCTGCCCGTGCCTGTGCTGCCTGTGCCTGTTGCTGCCCGTGCCTGTGCTGCCCGTGCCTGTGCTGCCCGTGCCTGTTGCTGCCCGTGCATGTGCCGCCCGTGCCTGTTGCTGCCCGTGCCTGTGCTGCCCGTGCCTGTGCTGCCCGTGCCTGTGCTGCCCGTGCCTGTGCTGCCCGTGCCTGTTGCTGCCCGTGCCTGTGCTGCCCGTGCCTGTGCTGCCCGTGCCTGTGCTGCCCGTGCCTGTGCTGCCTGTGCCTGTTGCTGCCCGTGCCTGTGCTGCCCGTGCCTGTGCTGCCCGTGCCTGTGCTGCCCGTGCCTGTTGCTGCCCGTGCCTCGTGCTCGCGCCCCCGTGCGCTCTGCTACTGTCTGCGCCCTCGTGCGCACTGTTCCCCCCCCCCCCCCTCCCCCCCCCGTTTGCGGGTGTGGGGGTGCTCCGTTTGTGTCGCCCCTTCCTTCTCCTCCTCCGTCGTCTCCCACTGCTGCAGCTGTCGCTGAGGGGGGTGGTTGTGTGGGAGACTGGGGTTTAGGGTTTAAGGGGGGTGCGTGGGAGTGGAGCTAGGGGTGTAGCAGCGGGTGTGTGTCAGGGGGGTGGGACTGTTTGTGGGAGGTTGAGCGGAGGCTGCCATCTTGTAGTCCGCAGCACCTGTAGTCCGGGGCGCTGTCCTGGTAGCCCAGTGAGCCTGCTGCGCCTGTCGCCCGTGGGTCCGTTGCTCCTGCCGCTCTTCGTAGCCGCCGAGCCAGTTACTCCAGTAGTCCGGGGCGCTGTCCCGGTAGCCACTGTGCCAGCCGCTCCTGTTGCCCGTGTATCTGCAGCTTCAGCAGTCGCCTCCCATCTCCTCTCCTCTCACTCTCCCTCCTCCTCCTCACTTGCCCGTTGTGACCACCACTAGCTTTGCTTATAATTGTGAACTCTAAACTATTTCTTCTTGAACTTGTGCTCAGAATGTGTGGTGACATTGTGATCCACCCTGAGCTTGTTTTGCTTTGCCTGCTCTGCTGATTACACCCCACTTTGGCTATGGGGGTGTGTCAGAATATTATCTTATTGTTCTAGCCTGTAGTGGGGTGCTCTATAGCGAGTACAACCCTTCTAGGGTTTGCTATTTGTATCCTCATTCTTGCTAGTTCAATCCTCTTTTCTTCTTCTAATTTTGACAGCGGATTCGGCTTCATGCGCCTCGTCGCCTGCACCTGCTTTGCGTATCTGCTCCCGTGGACCTTGAGTCCTAGCACGTGTTGGAGCCGGATGTCAGAACGCTCGAGCCGCTCCTTCTCCAGTATCTCCCGCGCATCTAGCGGCAGCGCCTCCTTGCACTTGGTCAGCCATGTGTGTAGCGGTGTGCTGTCGACCCGCGGCAGTAGCATATGGTTCCGTGCTAGAGTGAGAGCGTTATCCTCTTCCAGCGGCAGGCAACTGAGATAGAGCGCCGCATGTGTAAAGCTGGCCGCGAAACCATAAATCCCCTCAACTAGGGGGTCACTGATGCCCAGTCCTCCTAACGATGGCGGCAGCGACGCCTGTTCCCACACCTGCGTTTGTTCGGCTCGACAAGTCGGTACGCGGATATCACACGATGTGAGGAGCGTGGCGAGCAGATCCCTACCCCACTGGCTCCATGTATCACGGGGGAGGAGGTGGAGTGGAGTTGTCCTGGTGAGGTATGCAACTCGTCGCGAAATGCATCGCGTAAGTAGCAGTGCTGCAACCTGGTGATCTGCTCGCTCGAGTAGGGGTAGGGGCTTTGAGATCTCGGCGAGTTGTCCCGCTAGGAACTGAGCTGCGCCACTTTCCAGCCCCACGAACCTACCCAGCATCCGCACGCTGTCTTTAGAGAACGGCACTCCTGGAGAAAGGTCAGCTGCGTCGATCGCGCTTGACCTCCAGGCCGCACATTTCTGTGGATTATGCTCAAGGCCCAGGTGCGCCAACTTGGCCGTGAAGTGTTGGAATGCAGCTACAGTGCAGGATGTCTCACCCAGGAAGGTGACATCGTCTGCATACGCCAAGCACAGCACGTCAGGATGTGCTTCGGCTGTTTCGCGAAGTGTGGCGTGTATCCCTGTTGCAAACAGTAGCGGCCCAAGTGGGTCTTCTTGGCGCACGCCGCGTTCACTTGTCAGTGGTTCGCTGATGAAATTGGAATCCAGTAGTAATTGCGACGGGTTACCGTATGTCAGTTTCACGAGCGGCAGCAGCGGCGAGAGGGTGGGCTCGTGTAACGCGTCTGCGATGGCTGTCCGCAAAATGCTGTTGAACGCGTTTGAAATGTCGGCTTGCAGTACCAGGCTGTCCGGGTGGGCATCCGAAAAAGCCTTGGCTGCGTGGATTACTGCCTCTGCTCCACCAGGTACTGCCACCCCGTACTGTATCGGTAGGAAAAATTCGCGAACCGGTTCTCCCATGATTAGTAGGGCTGCCTTGGCTGCCAGCCTCGTTAGGCACTCGCCAATTGCAATTGGCCTAGCCCCTCCCCCCGGCTTGGCGAGGGCTATGAGTCGTGACGCTGTCCGCAAGTTTGCAACCGAGCCTAGCAATTTTCTTCCCAGCATAGTGTTGACCAAGGCGTGCAGATGGGTGTTGACCATTCCGTTGGTGATCGCCGCGTCGCGCAGGTGCTCGAATGTCATCCTGGATGGTCCGGCTCCGACCCCATTCTCGCATCGTCCCAACATTTTTGCTAAGTCAGGATGGGGGATTGACAGCTTTGACCCTTGTGGCTCGGACCACGTCACCGCCTCGTCTGCTGCGGGTGGGTGCTTTTGGCGCAGTTCCTCCAAAATTTCCGGGCTGGGGGTGCAGACGGGCGTTGGCTCGAGAGCCAGCACGGCCCGGCGCAGACTGCCACGTTTCGCTAGGCTTTCCGCACAGCTGATTACACCAGTCGCATCCGGCTGATGTCGTGGCGGGGGCGGTGTCTTGACTGCGTTAAACGCGTCCTGGTACAACTGATCCCATTCGCCGCGCTGGAACGCTCGGAGCTGACCCTTGACACTTGGCCAGTTCAGGCGTTGTGGCGAGGTCTGGCGAAGTGTCATGCGCGGGAGAAACAACAGCATGCGCCAACCTGTCTCCGAATCAGGGTTTCGTGATAGGTGGTGTAACGGTGTCAGTAGCGCAAGCGAAAAAAGCTGACATAGGTTTGGCGGTAAACGCCGCGACAGTGGAGGCTGACGGCTGTCGCATAGTGCTGCAATATCCCAATTCGCGATGCCTGCGAACAGGTCTGTCCGCTTCGCAAGCTCGTCTGGTGAAAAGTAGCGGGGAATTGATGCTGATGGGCGCGCCACGGTACTGGCATTGGCGGTTCGATTTCTCCCGGCGCGGCTCGATCTCATTGGTGGGCTTGAGGTTAGATTTACACCCGTCTAATCAGCATCGGACGGTGGTTCGGCCACCTGTGGCACTTGCAAGTCCGCCTGCTGCACTACCTCTCCCCTTCTCTTTGGTCCTTCTCTCGCCATGCTTTCCCCCCCCGTCTCCTCGTTCTCGCTCTCGGGGAGGGCCTCTTCCCTATAAGATGGGTCGTCCCGCTCGTCTTCGTCATTAGTTTCCTCCACGTTGTTTAAAGCTACGCGCGCCGCCGCCTGATACCCATTCTCTGGTCCTCCGCATGTTCCGCTTACGGTTTCTCTCCTCGCCCCGCGCCTTCCCTGCTCTAGGGATGGTGATTGCCGGAGAACCTGAGCCGTCGCCAGAGCTCGTTGCCGCGTGGTCGGCTGCGGTCGCCAAGCCTCGGGCAGAGGCCGAAAAGGCGACCATGGCGACGAAGCCCCCTCTACCGCCGGCTCCGAAGCCCGCGACAACAGTCTCTGAAAAGACTCCTCCCCACGCACCCGCAGACTCCCTTACCGGGTCAGAGGCTGGCCCGTCCGCTCCCGCTACTGTTCCGTCTGCTCCGTCTGCGGTACCCCTCTGGCTCCCCTTGTCGAGCCGTCGGCGTCTGCCCCTGTTGGGGGGGTTGCTGAACCCCCTGCATCTGTCCCGGGCGCACCGCTTTTGAGGTGAATAGCCTCACGTCCCTCTTTTGTAGACGAAAATAGGGGTGAGTAGCGTCGCACCGCTTCGTTTGCTGCGCTGGCCACGTCCTCGCTTTCACAATACGAAACTTTAGAAAGTACACTTTCAAAAATTATAATTTCGTGTTATCATTCGTCTTTGTCGAGTTATCAAATGCGTGATGTCAAACATATATGTTTAGGTTATTTATCTAGGCTGTAGTGGGGTAGCCACTATGGGGTACAACCCCTTGTTCTCATTTTGTTCCCAACCCTCTCGATAGTCGATTCATTCGCTGCTCCTACTTTCTTGACATGGTATTAGAGTAGGAGGTCCTTAGGACCTAGAATTTCGGGCCCACCTTGTTACCACGTTACCCCACCTACTTCCCTGCCCGCGTGTGGCCCGCTGCCCACACGTGGCCTTCCTTTTTTCACTGCTGCTGCAGCCCGCGCGACCCACGAACCTCTCGCTAGGACCTCGCAAGCAGCCCGCTAGGACCCCGCGCGCAGCCCGCTAGCACCACGCCAGCCAGCGCCAGCCCGCGAACCGCCTGCTGGCAGCCTGCGCGGGCTGCCTGCTGCCCAAGCGGCCTGCTCGCTGCCCACGTAGCCCGCGCCACCCTGCTTACTGCCCGCGCAGCACGCGCCAGCCCGCTCGCCGCCCGCGTAGCTCACGCCAGCCCGCTCGCCACCCCGCGCTAGCCCGCGCCACCGCCTCCTGGCAGCCCGCCCCGCCCGCGCGCGGCCTGCTTCCTACCCGCGCGGTCCGGGAGCCACCCTCTAGCGCCGCCCGCACCTGCCCACATGCTGCTCCTGCCGGCCTGCTTGCCGTCCCTCTACTGCTGCCGCTCTGTGCACCTCTCACCTGCAGCCCTCGCAGCCACCTGGATGCTTCCTGCTTGCTTGCTTGCGCGGCCCCATTCACTAAGACGCTATGGCCTCGCTCAGCGTTCTCGAATTCGATCCTCAGGGCTGCCCCATTAAGTTCGAAACTTGGATGCAGGACCTACAACTGTTCCTACTGAGCGAATCTAGAGAAGATGTTGCACTATATGACCTCACGTCTGGAGCTAGTCCTGCACCTGCCGCCTCTGCCGATAGCACGACTCACTTGAAATGGCTCACTCATGACGCTGGCGCTCGATTAGCTCTTCGTAACCACCTGCCCATATCCGAGCGTGCGCACTTCGATCACACCAAAACGGCCAAGGAGTTGTACGACGCTGTAGTTGCGCGCTACTCTTCCCCTACCACTGCAGCGCTAGGCCGCCTCATTCTCCCCTACCTCTTTCTCGAGCTGTCCTCGTTTCACACTGTCAATGACCTCATCACCAACCTCCGCACTATAGACGCTCGCTACCGTGCCGCCCTCCCCACAGAGTTTCTCCCCAAGAATGAGCCCCCGATCTACATCACATTCTACTTTATAGTCACTCGCCTCCCAAACTCTCTCAGTGCAGTCAGGGACACCCTCCTAGCCCTTCGCCCCACAGACCTCACTATCGACCTGCTCTCGAAGCACCTCCTAGCAGCCGAGACAAAAATTGTCGCTGTAGGTGC